TGGAGCTCATTAGAAAGGTATTGTGCTCTACATTTTGGTGGACTTTTCGCATTCGCTTTTCACAACAAAAAAATTGTTTTAAAATTGTACATATACAAACTGGTTCTTTCCACTTGAAACACAGCTGCTATTTCTGTTAAAAATAGGAAGTATGAACAGCCTCTCAACAGAGTTGATCATGGATGGCATTTGAAACCAGTAAAATTAGACATACTGGATAAAACACCTGCAGACTACATAGGGATCTTTGCAAGGGATTTTTCTCAAGGTAATTAACACCTGCTCCCCTTCATAAAAAACCCTCAGAAAAAAACCTTCAGAAAAAACCCTCAGATCTAAGATACATCTTGGAATACTAGACAGAGCCCCATGCTTTTCCATGTTACCATTCCGAGTGAGTATTTCAGGGCTCAAATGAAGTTGTACTTAAGCAGGCAAATGCTCTTTATCTTATGATTTTATTGGCAATATTGGAAGCAGAAGGCACACAAGACTTCCCCTCCCAAATCTGTGATACTGAAATCACAACACAACATCCTGGACTCTGCCAGAACCACGCTGGATTCTTCAAAAGCAATCCATTTCAAGTTTCTGCTTTCCCTTCAACTTGAAGAAGCAAATAGGAACTGATTGAAAATGGCTTTCTCTGTGGTACACATTGACAACAAATTACCAGGCTGGCAAAAGGCCAGAAGCAAAAAGCAACGTGGCAAATATTTCAAATCCAATACAAACCCATCTACTCATTGAAGAGTGGCTTGAGGGTGTCTTTAGGAGAAACAGAGTTGCAAAGGCATTGACAGAATCTGAATGCACCAGACCCATGACAGTGCCAGTACAGGGAAGGAACTGGAGCCAGGACACGGATCTTCATGTTGTAAAAGAAAACAGTAACAGTACTGACTTGAGTCTCTAACTCCCCAGTACTGACCTCTTGAGAAACAACTGCAATTCACAGTTACTTGAATGGTGAGAAGATGTTTGCACAGATTTGGCTGAAGTATTTTCATTACTGAACAATAATGAATTTGTAGAAGCTACACAGTATCGGAAGTTTTGGACAGCACTCTCCCCTGCCAGACACTTTAACAAATATTTTTTGAGACTTAATAAAGTCATTTACTGACAGGAACCATTACAGCCTTAATTTACTCTGATGATAATGCACTATATACTTTTAAATACATATACATACATGTATGTATATATACATTGCATTTTACTTTTGTCAAACAAAATATATACACTCAAGTTGCACTAAACATGAAAAATACCTAAAATGCTTCAATAATGCCATTAGCACTTCTTGAAGATTACACATCTGAGATCTTTAAAACACTCAGTGCAACTCAGGAGTGCACTCAGACCCGATTTCAGCACAAACATGTGACCACAGAACCACAGGACATAAAAGCTCAATTATTTAAGAAGGCTGCAATCCATTGCACTTTGCAGTCTGACATCTGTAAACTACTCCCTTTCTAACAGGTCATATTATCAACTGCCATTTATGTTTTATTGTACAGTAACTTTTATTCCTCCAAAGAAGGTGCACACACATAGCATCTGCTGTGTTTTCTAAATACCAGTTTGAAATAAAATGTTCAAAATGCCCTAATGATTTAAGAGCCTACATTCTGCTTACAAAACTAATGTAAGCATTTACTGACAAAAAAAAAGTAATGAAAATTCAGTGAGACACAGGAGGCTTTGAAAACATTGTATTTTAATAGTGGTTTATACTTTGACCACTAGTAAACCTAGAAGGAAATTGCCTGATCTGAGGAATAAATATGCACACAGATAAATAAACAGAAATGTTGAACAGGTTGAAATACTTCTTTTTTTAAAAGAGAAACCTCTGAAACATAAACTTTTATACCTTCAAAGGCATGTTATATAATATTTTATTATCATGAAAAATGACAGTAAACATCTCTCTTATTTTATACTAATTACAGAAAGGTGTTCTCACATTTCCCCTCATATTGAATTTTAAAATTCTCATAAATTCAATATATGGAGTATCTTCACATTATAACAGATCTTGCATTTGGTTGCAACAATATAAGCAAAGAGCTTTCTTCCCAATTCCAGCTAGGGAAAATAGTCCTTACATGATGCAAAACATGTTTCATTCCAGAGTCCAGTCCTGAAACAGAACTGTATTTTCCTACAGGTATAAAAGTATTAAAAAAAAAAGTCACCACATAAACCTCTGTACTTCATCACTATTTTCCCATTGGAATGTTCTGTTTAGAAAAAGATACAAAGTTACAGCATTTACCAAAATATAAAAAGCCAGCTCCATAAGTTGTCTATACAGAGACAGAAATGGAATATTGAGCCTATATATTAAGAATGGCAAAATAAAGTAACGAAATTCTAGCAATTTTTGAGGAACTGTGACTGCTAATAAACATACAAAATACATTAAGATCCAGAATATTGACTTTGATTTTAGCATATCAGCAAAACTCCAGCCAGCAAATATATAGAATGGAACTAACAAGTATTTTACAAGTTCGTGTTTTTGGAACACTTTTCTCCAGACGTAGAATGTATAATGTCTGTTATCTGCTAGTAAATACTTATGGACATAGGTAAATTTCCAGATCAGGAATAAACAGATGACAGTGATTAAGCTATACTGCACAGGGTGCTTTCGCAATGACAAAAGGAATTTCCTGATTTTAGTAGGGGTCACTAAATGAGGGAATGAAAAAAAAACAGTAAAGGACAGAAAATAGAACAGCTGAGGAAAGTGCAAACAAGCTTCGTGACTACTTCTATCACCAACAACTATTCCACCATTGATGAAGACAAAAACAAAGAAGAGAGATACTAATATGATGTATGGCCAAGTTAAAGCAGCAAGTGTAACTAGGTTTTTAGGTGACATGAGATACTCAACAAGAAACTGCAGTATTCTGGTCAAATCAGAAAATGATCCCTTCCTGGAAGAAATCTTTTCATCTTTCTTTTTCTGCAACTCAATTTTCCAGGCTTCATTTAGCTTCTCTGCAACAACATTTCCAGCACAAAAAACTGTCCATACAATATTCGTCTGACGAAACATGAAGCCACAAAATCCAAGGAGAGCAGAAGTTTTATGGTTACCATAAAGGCACATTAAATAGGAAAAGAGAGTAAAAAATACTGATCCTGGATCCGTATAATAAAGGAATGTAAAAAAATAAAGGGTGGGAAACATTGCAAGAGTTAATGCAGACAATATTCTCTGGAAACCAGACACAGCCTAAAGAAGAAGCAGAAAAATGTGATTAGACAATGTCCAATAAAATAAAATAGTGTATTAAAAGAGAACTAGCATAATTCTTGAGAATTCCATTAACAAAGTATCTGTGCAGGTTCCGTTATTGCACAAATGCTACATTTTTCTTAAGCTCCTGCTACATTAACACAGTTACACAATGTTAAAATCCAAGTGAAAACATTACTGCAGATGAAAAAATATGGCAACGAAAATACACCAACTTCTTTCAGCTGTGTACATATTTCTGGCATTAAAATCATGGTGGGAGCATAATTACTCCCATACCTTGGATAAAAAGGCTACAAAAATGGGTAGGAGAAATAAAATCAATGGTTTACACCCCTGCAATCTCATAATGACATTCTGTTTATCTGTGAGACAGCACCATTCTGTGCCTCTGCTATCACCTCTTTTGAATTCAGCCCACAGAGAGGCCACTCCAATCTTTGATGCAGCTTTTATTGTTTATAATCATTATAATTCATGAGTCAGAAAGGAAATTTTTAAAAAGGTAGGAGACCATGCAGTTGAAAACTTTACCCAATTATTCCCTTCACTACATGACAACACCGCAAATCACAACATTAAAAAATACTGCGTGTTTCTGAGTGATGTAGTGCAGGGTGAAACAGCCACTCATTACCTTACAAGAAAGAGGAATTGAGAAAATACCGAGATCAAAGAAATGTCAAAGTATCACTAAATGCTTAGCCTACTGCCATGAAACTTTTTCTTACGTTTATGTTTCCACTTTCAAGCATAAAATTAACAGTGGAAACAATTTACTTAATCTAATCCTGTAGTGTTATCATGTGCTTAAAAATGAAGAGGTTCCTCCCAAAGAAATTTCTTTATAGTAAAGGAATCCTTCAGTTATTAGGGAACAGGAAAAAAGCATTTTAAGGTTAAAAGTCAAACTAAGTAACTTCACTAATGTGAAGGATTTTAAATAGGCCATTGACCACTGAAACAATTTATTTACTACAGTGGTGGATGCTTCAGAATTTTAAATATACAGCACTCTTGTATCCAAGCTGAACTGTTATGACCTGAATGTGTGGACAGCTAGATAAGTAAAAACTGGCTGGATGGTGAACTCTACCCCAAAGGACAGTAACAACCCAAGTACCACAGGGATCTAAACTGGGACCTGTCTTGTTTAACGGCTTTATCAAAGGAAAGAAAGCAGCAAGAGTACACTGCCACCAAGTCTGGAGTTGGCACTGTATGGGCAGGACCAGGCAATTTGCTCAAGAGCACAAGTGTCATCCAGAGTGACCCACACAAGTTGGAATAATGGGGTAACAAAAATATGATGAAATTCAACAAGGACAAATCTAAATGCCTGCAGCTGAAAATGAAGAAATGCATCAATGATACAGGCTGCTCACAGAGCAGCTGAGGCTCTGCTGTTCAAGTTTTGTGAGGACTCTTAAGCAATTCCAACTACATGAGCATTCAGACCTTTGGATAGTAAGTCTGTATACGTACTAACTTTTATTTCAACCTTGTACTTATGTATAAGAATTAATTTTTAGAGGACTGCCCCTTGTGCAAGAAAAAAGATATTAAAGAACAGGAATGTGCCTTCTCAGTCAAACTGGTGGTGGTACTTGTAGTCATACAAAACTGAGAACATCTCACATATGTAGTGAAGGGAACATACACTGAGCCATCAAAGTTGCTTGTACGAGTGCATAAAATTATTTTACTTTGACCGTACCTTATTCTTCTGATGGATCTTGAACAGAAGCAAATACAGCAAATAGAAGTTCCCAGCACTGAAGAGGAGATTGATAAACCTGAGCATTCCCACAGAGCACACCACGCTTCCCGTCCAGCCGAGGAGCCAGGCCGCGGGCTTCACCATTCCCACCGACAGCAGGTACAGGCCGGGCAGCGTGGTGATCATGGGGTCCCACTGCAAAGCCACACACCAGAGTTACCGACCCGCTCCGGCCACACCGCCCCGCCACGGCCCCTTCCTCGGCCCAGACAGCTCCCGGCACTGCTGCCCTGAGGGTCCTGAACTCTGTGTGCGCTGCTGCTCCCCGCGGTACAAAAACCCCCGACCCCGAGCGGCTGCTGTGCTGCTGCTGCAAGGGCGAGTCCCTCCCTGACCTGCAGGAAGCGGCCCTGGCAATAGGCCTGCGCCTGCGGGACGTGGAACACCTCGTCCATGTAGGGCCCGCGCTGTCGGCGGCTGACGGCCGCGAAGAGCAGGCACGACAGCAGGAAGGCGCCGCTCATGGCGCCCGAGAAGCCGTAGGCCTCAGCGCGCTCCATGCCGGCTCCGCGCCGGCCGCGATGGGGCCGCCCTTCCGGGGAGGGCCGAGCGGCGAGGGGCGGCACCCGGCCGGGCGGGAAGGGCCGGGGAACGGGGCATTCCTGGAAGAAACGCGGAGCTCCCGGCCCGAGCGGCCTTGTGTTGTTGGCGCTGTGTTGCCCACGGGACGAGCGGCGCCGCCGATGCCTGGGGCCGGGATGGAGCGAACGCACCGGCTGGAGCTGTTCCCCGACCACAGCGTCACGCTGCTCCTCTTCCAGCACGTGAAAAATGCCGCTGCCCTGCGGAAAAAAGCCATGGAAGGATCCATTGACGGAGCGCTGATAAACCCCGCGATGGTGAGCGAAGGCGTGTGCTGCCCTGTGGGAGTGGAAATGCTGGTGGGAGCTCAGTGAGGCTGACCCCTGCTCTCAGTCGCTGTCACACGAGTTGCTTTGCGCGTCCTCCTGGCTCTGCGCAAGTGCCCTCCTTTGATTTCGTCTGTGTAAAACAGCCTTGGCAAGATTGGCCAAAAGCATTGTTCTGATTAATTTCACATCCTGCTTGATGGGGTTTAAATTTGCTTCATGTGTAAACTCTAGTGCTAATTAATTCATGCTGTAAAAAATCTATTATTTGGTGCTTTTGTTTTCATTTAACCCTTTCAGACTCAAGTCCGTTTTTGTTAGAATTAGACTATCAAAATGAAGTGGTCAGGATTTTTTTCAGATTTGAAAACAGTCAGTTAATTCTGTGTAACTTTCTCTTGTGTTTTACAGATTGTAGATACTTTTCAGATTCTTGTGGCAGCCAACAAAGCAGTGCATCTACAGAAGATAGGTAAAATGAAGACCAGAACACTCAATGCAGAAATTATTTTCAGCCTTTCACCAAGCAACAATGTAAGATCTATTGAACAAATTTCTTTTTTCGAGAAAGGCTTGCTAAGTTCCACACAGGCAAACTTAGTACATGTATTCCTTTAACATTCTACCTAGCTACTAGTAGAAGTTTTTAATTGCTATTTTTAATAACACTAATGTGCTGTTGTGGTTTATAGCTTGTCAGAATTCCATTAATGTACAATGTCTGTCAATTTTTACTCTTGGTGTGTCGGACACAGTAACTAAAGAGGTTCTTTATGTTAGTGAGAAAGTGACTCATAATATTTTATTTTTTTTTCATTTTAGATTTCAGATGCATTTAAAAAGTTCGGCATTTCAGACAGTGACACAGCAGTACTCGTTGTGCTGGTTGTGGATGGAGACAAGACTGTAAACCTGGCAGATATAGCATCTCAGGTGGAAGGCCAGCAGGTTTCCCTAGATGAACTCCCCCAGCTAACAGACACTGCCAAAGTTAAAAAGGTGTGTAGCCAAAAGAGAAGACTGACATGGAGAAAAGGGATAGTTCATTTAGTTGTCTGATTTAATATCAACAGACATAATTAACTTAGGATCTGTATTTCTTTAGCACAACTGGAAACTTGTTTTAAGTGGACTTTGGTTATTTCTTAGAATTTTTTGGTTGAAACAAATTTTAGTTGTCACATCCTAACACCAAAAAATTTAAGTCTTCAAATTATTAATGTTGTCAGGGAATTAGAGCATAAAAATAAATTCCTAATTGCTGCCTACCATCCAAGCATTTTTGATTCCTGTTTTTAAGGCAAATATTCATTTAATTAAAAATTTCAGTCCTGAGCAGTTTCATAAGCTTAAGTACATAGATAGTCCCAGTAGGGGTGTTTAAAATAAAACCACGTTAATTAGCTGTTAGGAATTGCCTTAGGGCAACCATATGGTAAATAGGTATTTTGAAGCATGTATTTATTGATCATATTGCATGATAAAATTCAAGTAACTTAAATCATGGTTATCATGTCTGTCAAAGTATTGATAGGAGACATATGAATAAAATTGGACAAATCATGCTGCTGTCATTCAGTTTTGCAGCTTTCCTTGTTCTTGCAGCTTCAGAATTTGCTTCAGTCCAAATTTTGTCTTGCAGTCACAAGAAGATATGAATTTCCAATGTAAAAGTGGGGGAGAGGGAAATAATCTTTTCTTGTGTACATATTTTTAGAAGGTATGGTATTTTTCTTCCTTATACATCTTTCCTGTTTTTCTTGTTCCTTTTTTCTGCAGATGTACAAAGTTACTCCACAAGAAGAAAAAATTGGCACCTTATTGGATAGTGTTGTTTGCAGAATGTCAACAAAAGATGTTTTGTGAAAATGTGGAAATAAATTTCAGAGGAAGTGAAGTAGTACTGAGTAGTTTGATGACATCTGAGCTTTAACCAAGCTTGTACACAAGGGTAACTTGAGCTGTGTTCTAAGCACAGAGAGCAACTCTGCCATGCCAAACAGAATTTGCCATTGGCATTTCTGTCCTTTTTCTTGACAAGGGAGAATTGGCTTCAAGCTGAACTTAAAACAAAAGGCTTGGAAATCTGTACTTACTTTTGTCTTTTGTCAAATGTTTTGGTAGTCCCTGACAGCATTCAAACATTGTAAATAATTTTTATTAACTGTGCTCTGATTTGTTTTGGTTTGGCAACCTGACGGATGATAGCCTTCTGACAATACTAAAAGGCATCTTTACAGACCAAGTATTTCTGATGGACTAGAAAGAGGAAATTTTCCATAAACAATCAGCAGCATCTCCCTCTTTGTGCTACTGGCATAGAGTTGCTGCCCACCCTTTGAGGACAGGAGGAGGCAGAGGGGCGCTGTGCTGGCCAGTGGCAATGTGGAGCAGGGCATCAGAGATGTGTACAATGAAGAATAAGGTCAGTGTGGGTAGTGCTGTGGTGGTGTTAGCACCTGACAGTCTGATGTCATCCAGTGCTGGCTTTAAAGATAAGGAGTGGTGCTTTTACTTCATAACACTGATTATGCATGGTGATGCTGAACTCATAGAGCCTGGTTACAGGTGCAGAATTCACAGACAAATTTGCACCATAGGTTGTATCCACTTAAATTGTCAATAGAGCTTACATAGCATTCTGAAAGGACATAAAACTTGTCTTGGTTTTTTGAACTACTGCTAGGAAAGGCCATCAAAGGGAGCTAGGCGGACCATTGATTTCCAGTAGTCACTGGGTGCAACAGCCGTGAATGTGTGTCATTTAATCACATGCATGCATCCTGTTTAAATAAAACTACTGTCCTAATTAGGTAGAAATGTTTGTTATTTTTATGCTATATTCTTTTTCTGCGATGTGCATAAAACTACAGCTGTCTGCATTTTTTTTCCTGGTGTTTTCTGAGGTATAATGATTTGTGTATTTAAAAGATCATTGGAAGAGAATGTCTCACATTCTTATGTATACATTTTGAAGGAAAGTTGAAATGTTGTCCCATACGGTAAACAGACCAGTGAACTGACATATAGACCTGGTTTTGTCTGTGTTTTGTGTTTAATACAGAAATGCACAGCTTCAGTTTTGCATTTTGATTTCAGTTAAGTCTTCCCTTAGTTAAAACACAGTAGTATAAATACCATCCTTTTCTTACCAATCAGACCAATGGCAAATTTAGTTACAAAGTACTAAGGGAATTACAAGGTTTATCAAAAGATTAGGGACAAATGGCTGTGCTGACTTCTTGCATTAAAGATGGCTTTACAGAATGCATCATCATCTCTAAAGGGAAATGTGAAAAATGTAGTAAAAAATGGACCTTGGAAGGACTTGAGTCTTTAAAAACAAAAGTGTATCACATCAGCATGTGAGAATGACCATGGAAAATAAGAGACTTGTTTTCCTTTTCTGACAGTCCAATTGGTACATGGAATGTATCATAAGATTTACTGGCTGAACTACAATGTTTTTGTTAGTTTAAAACAACAGTAGACAGGCTTACTTAAACCACTGCCTTTTTTGAACACATGTAAAATGTCTGTCTGGTCTGTTTAAAACAGGAGAAATAGTAATAAAATGATTGCTGCATATAAGTTTTGACACACAAGTTCCAAACTTGGGTTTCCAGTTTCTATTTTTCCATTTATTTCATTGCTGTGGATACATTAAATAGCTTGTTACTGTTGACATAAGTTAAATTGCGATTTACTGTGAAACCCAAATGAAGTGTTTTCATGTGTGTATTTACAGGAAATTATTTTGGGACCTGAAGTCTCCAAAATGTCATTCAGTCAGGCAGATGATTTGGGTCTTTTTGCATTGAAGACTATGCCCTGCAAGACCATAGGTTTTCCCTAGACGTGGTTGCATTATCCAAGTTAAATGAGTTATTTACAAAAACTGGTAATAAAAGTAGATTTTGTGCACCTTGCGAAGATACAGTTGTCTTTCTGAACACATTAAAAATGGTTTCATTTAGATCTCTAATGTTACTGTTAAATCAACAGGATTTTGCAGGAAAGCAAAAATTTAAGAAAAAAATACACTTTTCAAAACATTTAATGTTCTGTAGCAGTCTCTTCTGAAGTTTCATACCTCATCTCCTCCATCATCATCAAAGTGAAAGAGGAAAATGAAGTATTTTCAATACCTTATTTGGATCTCCAGTGCTTCAGAGGCAGGATTATACCTGCAGAATTTATAAACTGAACACCTAAATGCTACATCATGATGTGTGGTGAATTATTCTAGGTTTTCTTTCCCTTTGGCGGGGTGCATTTGGGATTTTGTGTTTGACTTTCAGCACACTGAGGCCACTGCCTGTCCCACAACCCTGATCACTGGGAGCTTTTGTGCTGCTGTCAGAGCATGTAGGTCCTTCTCCCATCCCATGTACTTCAAACATATAATGACAAAGGATGCCCATCCTTTTGTGTTCATGCTACCTGTTTTATGACTGGGTCCCTATGTTAGGTGACAATGTATGTAATGTTCTAATCATCTGTTTTCTTCAGTATTCCTTTGTGTGCTGTTTTTCAAGGAGCATCATCAAAGCACTGCTCCCATGTTAAAGCACTGATGGAATGCCCCCCATCAGTGATGGGCTAGTGTATGTAGAAGCTGGTGCTGCCATGAGAAGTTAATAAATTATGGAAGAACAAGTGGTGGTTGCAGATAAATATATACAAGATGAAGACTGAGCCAGGTGGTTCTGTGATAAAGGATTCACAAAATCAGCTTATTTCATTGTTTTATTCCTGAGTTTACAAAGTCATTACCATAAGTTAAAAATAGTGGATGCAAGTCCCATATAAACTCTCTTCAGCAACGGAGATGAGAATTTGACTTTCAGTGATCTTCCTTTGCCAACAGAATAGCTGGGTTTGTTGATTATTTTTTTCTATCTTGTTGTAACATGGCAGGTTATTTCCCTGCTTGTAGTGTATGTTTTACCATGAACTGGGACAGGCAAACGTAGCAGAGGTAGAGACTCGACAAGTTCACAAATGGAAAGCTGGGGTGGACATACAAAACATTGACCAATAAAACAGAAGCTGAACTCTTCTTTCTAGAATATCATGCTTAAAGTTTCATATACATGCTGAGGTTAATGTAAATGTGTACAGGTTGAACAGGTCTCTGTTATTCACAAAATTATGTTCTGTACATAGCTTGTTAAATTGCTTCATAGACTCACTCCACAAGTAGCAACCATTTAAGCAGTTTCAAGTAAATTGAAATATGCTGAGACCATTTTTTGTACCTCTTGAGTATGGATGACAGAAATACTTCTTTAAATATTTGACAAAAAAAGTTGCTATATTGGTGCTATGAGGATGAATCTTTTCTTGACCAGGCTCCCCAGAGTGCCACTAGAAGGATCATGATGATCACTGTGTAAAGGGTGTGGACTGTAACAAGATCATCTCCGTGCTGGTGCTTGAACCCAGAGGTGCTATGCCAATTCTCACTTTTGTTTCCGTTAGTTTTCTGTCTGTGAGCACGGAGAGAATGTATCCTGACATAACAAAAAGCAAGATTAAGGTTAAAAATTATTCTTCTTTATTAACAGTTCAATAGTGTTTGTGTTGAAATCCAGAGTGTGCATTGAATCATTGACTAGATTTGGGAAGGAGCTCTTCAAACTGTCTGGGGCTAATAAAATAACTTCTATAATTGGAAATGCAAAACCTTTACCAGCCATTTGGTATTTCTCTCCCACTGACAGGCACAGCGACTGGGTATGAAAAACACAGTGCTCTTACTCCTCATTATTGATACAGATCATTGTATGAGAAAAAACATACCTCTTCATTTCACAATATTATGAAAGTGACAGGGTTCAGATAAAAAATTACTAGTTTCCAAAGCTTGAATCCACAGGAATAAGCACAGCATGTGATCTTGCCATCCTGTTCTGGCATGTTTTTCTATCTCTGCTTTTCAGAGGGGTCTTGTATCAAGGCATTCATTACGCAAAGATAGCAGTCAGGAGTAACTATGCAAAGCATATCTGCAGGATTCTCTGCAGTAACATTTGACATTGCTGTATCACCTTTCCCAAAGGGTTTGAAACTGGGAGTATTCACCTATGGCAACAGACCTCCAGTTATTATCTTCACTGAAAATTGCCTGCTAAGCCCCAGTGCTAAGTCCTTGTTCCTGTTGGGTTTTTTTTCTCTCTTTTTTTAAAATTTTTTTAAGAGAAATGTTTAATGTGCACAATTACATCTGAACTGTAATGCCAAAAGGAGATAAACTTAGTTTGTGGTTTTCACATTCATTAGGAAGGGGTCTGAGATGGATTATATATATTGCAGGTGTGGTTCATACATGTTCCTGCTGTTACTATGACAGAAGAGTAGAGATTACCACAAATGTTAGCACAGATAGAGTTTATGAGTAAAAAAGAACTTTAAACCACAAATTACATACTTAGGCACACTTGGAAGAGAGCTGTCAAAACTGATTTGTTAAAACGGAAAGACTAGGAAATGCAGTCTCCAAAAGGGAATTCATCACTAAAACAGAAGTTCTGCTGTTGAGCTTTTACAGAAGGTAATTGCAGAATTAGATATTTAACATTTGTATCAGGACAATCTGTCATGTGTAGCTGTAAATCAAATAACATAGTTCATGATCATTTGGAAGAATCATGTGAAGACCACAAGAGGAATATTCTGCCAATAGTTTGCTTTTCTGTTCCTATCTGAGGGGAATGCAGCATATGCAGCTTACCTTCTGCAAGCATTCATGGTGTCTGGGTGATTGCGTTCCCACTGCGTCAGATTTCTTCTTGCAGAGAGGAAAAAAGCCTTTTTTATCCTCTTGTTTCCTTGCACAAAATGAGAAAATTTTCTCTCAGTACCAAACAAAAGAATCTTCCTTCCAAGCCCACCAACTTGACCAACAATAATCTTGGAACACTTCTTATGTGTCAATGAAAACGCTCAAATTAATGGTTTCTAAAGCTGATTTTGACACAGTTCTTAAAGAAATTCCCTTGAGCACTTCACAAGGCAAGTTATGAGTAATCCCAATGACTGGCTTCTTTTAGCTGCTGGGATCTCTTGTTATAAACAGTAGCTTGCTGCTGAAGTGTTGCCAAATTCATAACAACACAAGTAATGCACAGATGGAGGGTGGTGGTGATGAAAAATGCAGGATGAGCTGTAACTTAGAATTACTTTCTCTTAGATCACAGGCTATTTTGGGGTAAAACTTAGTTCCTTTCTACAACTGCAATTTGGTTTAAATTGCCTGGAGTGAAATTTCAAGCCATCATCACTTACATGAACTCTAATACTCAGATATTTTTTATGAAAAAAGCAGATGCCTTTTAAAAAAAACTTTCATAATATGATCACATTCAATAAGCAGTCAATAAGCAATGTATCACCACAAAAACCCACATTTTGACATCTAGGGTTAGTAACAGTCACATCCTATTATTCCCTGACCACCTGGAGTCAATAATTACCAATGTGCTAATGCAGAATTTCTCCCAGGCTGGGTTAATGCTGGGTTTAGTATAACCAATTCAATGCCCCGTAATGATTTGTAGGGCTTGTAAATAAACACATTTAAATTTGCAATTTATAAAGACAGACCAAAACCCTTCTTTCCCAAAACACTTTATTACATCATCTTTAAGTTTAAAATTACTGTATTTCTTATTTAACTGTTACTTTCTGCTTATTGTCACATATAATTGCTATTAAGACAAATCTGAACTTGTAGTTCTGGTGCATTTCTAAAGGCTTTTGCCTCTCCTTCACATATATCCTGGTTACAACATTTATGTTTTTATATAAATAAAACTGGTTCCTTCAGTTTTAGTAAAACAATTAGTAATTTCCAAATATGTCTTGGAAAAATCACTTACACTCCAGAAAATTAAGACTGAGTTTGTTGACCATGTGAGTAACTGTGACATTGGAACCAGTGAAGCTATCAAGGACAAAAACTCATTCTTCATTATTATTAATATATTAAATACAGAAAAACAGAAATATTACAATGACTTGGAAGAAGAAATTCAGACATCAGTAAAGAATGTTTACTTGAATCGGTTCTAGCTTTTTCAGACCTGATCCTGAGACTATAGGAAGTTACAACTCTTGGATTTGGTTTCCTTAAACAACATATACAGGGATAGATGTAAGAATAAAAATTGTATACTGCTCCAGGGGCACTGCAGCCACCAAAGGCGTGCCAAGCTGGGCACAGCATTGCCACAGCATTGCTCCCTCCACAAATTTCTGCTTGGCACCTCAGCCTCAGTGTTAGCCTGCTTTTACTGTTCCACTTAGGGTTAGGCTTAAGCAAAGCACAAAGCCTAGAACTTCAGGCCTGCAACTACAAAAGCCATGCAAACAGGAGCAATTCATGTCAACTCCCTATATTTGATGACAATTGCTTTATTTCAGAATTTACTTTTAACCACTGAATTTCTTGTCATTATAATCCCGCCCCAGTCTGTTTGTTTCACTTTTTTATCTGACTTTGAGATTTCATTTCCTTTCATGAAAGGAAATGAAATATTGCTATTTCGAACCATATCAATTCAGCAAGGTTTGATCCATTTCCCTGTGCTTCATGTAATCCCATTCCATTTTAGTTTTTTAACTTTGGTTCAGAAATTTCAACAATGAAATCTTGAAAATGGAAAAGAAAGTGTAAAAAACACTCTGGAAGGGAGATACATTATGATAAAATAAAATGCAATTTAAAAAAAAGTAAATTTAGGAATGCAGTGACTAACCAAATCAACTGAGATTAAATGAGGTGCAGTGAAAAGGATCAAAAATTAACAAAATTAAATTTACCAAAGTCCCAAAATCAGGGAATGAAGTCAAAAAGATAGAAGAAGAAACTGATGAAATAAAATGCTTAAAGAAAAACCTGCAACGAAGGGAAAACAATCAAATGGCATGGAATGACATGAAGCGCAGGGAAATGGACCATTCTTTGCCAAA